TCGCTTATTTTATTATTTAATCCATTTTAATATTGAACATTTTGTGACTATCAATTTGAATTCAAAACAGATTGTATTGTATAAAAAAACTTCCATGGACTTCCGCGCTGAGACTTATTTAGATGAAGTATATACCCATACAGACTGATGTACAAAAGGGGATGAAGCGATTCCTAGCGTTTTTCAATTCACAGTAGATTGTATCTGTATGTAGCACCTTATGAGGAATCAGTAATCTTGTCAACAAGTCTTATCTCATTAAATTTTTATATTTCTCGTCATCTTTTGATATTGTATTTTGTTTTTTCTATAATTTAATATTTTATAACATTTGCTTGATTATTTTGCAACGGCTTATTTTATAATTTTTTATTAACCTATTACTGTACTTAAACTACAAATTAAAAAATGAAACTATTGATATCGGCTTAGTTAAATAGTAATATGGTTTATTTCACGCGACTTCAGTTGTATGAAATATTATATAATATATACAGGGTAGCCCATCGAAAACGTACCGGAAGGCATTACAGGGTAGTATTGAACTTTTTGGCAAAATCCAAAAACAGGTAAAGTTTGCTTCTGAGGGGGACAACTTTTGGCACAAAAAGCATAGCAAAATATTCAACCCCCTAAGTGGGGGTGCCATCCCCCAAATTTTTTTAAATGGGAATGGGGGTCAAGTGGGGGGTCATTAGAAAGGGCTTTTAATTCTCTATACATCGATTCTTACTTTTTGAAAATCGATCCATTATTTTAGAAAATATGCAGCTTTGAAAATACGAACAATATTTTTGACGAGAAATGCGAAAATCGATTTAATTTTACTTCAAAACTTACGGTATTAGCTTGGTAAATTCCTTCAAAAGAATTCGCTGTTTTTTTTTCTGATTTGCGAATTCTTTAGCCTGATTTTGGTGAGCAAAAAATTGTCCGCTTTTTGTTTCGTATTTAGATAGGCCACAAGAAGTTGCTAGATAACTGTCTTGTGACTTGTAGTTGAAGAGTACCAATACTGCCGAGTCTTTTAAATTGATTAATTATGGTGTACTCAATTCCAGAAAGAGTAGAAATTATTGAGCTTTTTTTCAAAAACAATGAATGCGGAAATCGGGTCGCCGAACTGTTCAACCAACGGCATCCTGAGAAACATGCGTCTGGAAAAATTGTTCGCGAATTGGTGGCCAAATTTCGCGAAACTGGCTCCGTTCATAACAAAAAGAGGCAGGTTGAAAATCCGGTACTAAATGAACCTACGGAAATAGCGGTATTGGGGCAAGTGGCAATGGATAGTACGCTGAGTACAATGCAATTGGCTACTGCGACAGGAGTGAGTCGTACAAGTGTCCAACGAATATTAAAAAAATACAAATTCCATCCTTATAAGATTCGGCTAGTGCAAGAGCTAAATGAAGACGATTTTGATCGTCGTTTGCAATTTTGCGAAATAATGACTGAACGAGCGATAAACGATAATTTCCTCTTTAATGTGTGTTTTTCGGACGAGTGTACGTTCTTCTTGAATGGTTTAGTGAATCGCCATAATTGTCGTTACTGGGCTGATACCAATCCAAGGATTTTCCATGAGACACACTCCCAACACCCCCAGAAGTTGAATGTATGGGCAGGTATTTTTGGAAATTCCATTGTAGGTCCTTTTTTCCTTCCTGGAAATTTGACAGGCGATATGTACTTGGATTTACTACAAAATGTCATCGACCCAGCTCTAACAAATATCATAGAGGACGACCCTGCTTACAATGAACACGAACTGATTTTCCAGCAAGACGGAGCTCCTCCACATTACTCGCTCAATGTGCGCAATTACCTAAATGAGACGTTTCCAGGACGCTGGATAGGACGAAGAGGTGCAATTGAGTGGCCCCCTCGGTCACCCGACTTAAATCCTTTAGATTTCTTTCTCTGGGGGCACATTAAAAGCAAAGTTTACAGCACTCCACCTGATACCTTGGAAGATCTGCGAGGACGAATCATTAATGTATGTCGCGAAGTAACACCGCAAGTGCTCCAGAATGTTCGACAACGGTTTGAAGACAACCTGTATCATTGTATGCAAGTTGGCGGACAACATTTTCAGCATTTACTTGACTAATACCGTAAGTTTTGAAGTAAAATTAAATCGATTTTCGCATTTCTCGTCAAAAATATTGTTCGTATTTTCAAAGCTGCATATTTTCTAAAATAATGAATCGATTTTCAAAAAGTAAGAATCGATGTATAGAGAATTAAAAGCCCTTTCTAATGACCCCCCACTTGACCCCCATTCCCATTTGAAAAAATTTAGGGGATAGCACCCCCACTTAGGGGGTTGAAGATTTTGGTATGCTTTTTGAGCCAAAAGTTGTCCCCCTCAGAAACAAATTTGACCTGTTTTTGGATTTTGCTGAAAAGTTCTTTACTACCCTGTAATGCCTTGCGGTACGTTTTCGATGGGCTACCCTGTATAAGATTAGTGATTCCTCTAAAATGTTATGTACAGATACAATTTGATGTGAATTGAGAAGTGCGGGAAGAAGATGAGTGTGATGAGAATAATAACTGAAAATTGTTTTAACTTGAAATGAAAAAATAAAAGGAATACAAAAACAAAAAAAAAGTATAAAAAAACAAAAAAATTTTAAAAATTTTTAAAAAAATAAATAAAAACAAAAATGTCCTGGGTGACGCTTATGGGAAAATAAATTATAAATAAATTTATACTTGCTTAATCCTCATTCATATTCAATATTTTAAACATTTCATCATAAAAAATAAAATCTATATACAGAGTGTCCACGGATTGAGTGCACGTGGGGTGTAAATAACAAAAATTTTTCGAGTTGAAATTTGAGCTTCTAGGCTTCATCTCTGCTTGGCCCTAAACTAAGAAGTTGAAAAATTTAGTCCAATTTAGTGCACAGGGTGTTTTTACGATGAATTTTCAAAAATTGTCAAATTGGCTGATCAAATTAAAAATTGAAATTCTGTCATAACTAGAGACCGCACTTCGTTCGCACATCACAGGTCCGTACTTCAGCCGACGATCTCAATATTTAAATATTCATCCATTCTTCACAAAATAATAATAGTGCCGGCTAACCGACAAAAGCACCATGTTTATTTACCCCGCACGTGTCAAGGTCACGGTAGTCGGTCGACGGGAGGGGGGAACGGATTTCATTCCTATTAGACGGGGCCGTTGCGTGCTAAACATACGTAAGGAAACGTCGCGTCTTGTCCAGTAACAGTACGGTGTATATGCATATTTCTAATTATAAGTGTTAGTTTTTATTGTCTCTGTAAAAATGTCGCGTCGGCTTCCCGCTCGCTCTACGGTCGAAAACTGGATAAAAGATTACCCCGATTTAGAATTCGACGGAGCAGGTGCAAAATTTGTGAATGCGTTATATCGTGGAATTATAAAACACGAATTGCGGAACACATAAACTCAGAAAAACACAAAGCTCGCGAAAGTAACAGTATGACCACCAGTGAACGACAAATTGATAACTAATGTTAAGAAAATATTTTTGAAAGCACCAGCCCGGATAAATTTGTTCAGAGAAACTCTTCCAGGCGTACCACTTCCTCCAGAACTTGTTTTGACACGTTGGGGTACGTGGTTAGACGCAACATCTTATTATTACGTAGTTACGTACACTTTGACGGCATAAAAAGTGTTATACAGCAATTGGATTCAAGTGATGCTACTTCTATTCTATGTGCTCAAAGGATATTTAACGATCCTACACTTCGTGAAGATTTAGCATACATACATTTTAATTATTCACGAGTACCGTCAGTTATACGCCGTCTTGAAGTAACTGTGGCATCATCAGAATATTCAGTAAATAACACAGTAAATAATGTTTTAGACTTGCGACAGTTTATTTCCCAGTTGTCAGGACATAGTGCTGAACGTGTGAAGAAAAAAATCAATACCGTTTTGCAGAACAATCCGGGATTTCTAACTGTATGTCGCATAGTAGATCTTTTTGAAGGTAAAGAAGTAGATTTTTCTGAATCCACCCTAAATATGCCGTCCGTTAAAAATTATGTATACTTTAAATATGCCCCCATAACGCCTGAACATTTACAGCAGTTGCTGGTTATTCGGTTTTACTTCAGCACTGCAAGTGAATAGGTGTAGAGCTCAATGTAGAGTGTTTTGTAAACTAATAAACTTAATATGAATCATAGTGGATATTATAAATTGTCAATACAATGTAAGACTTTGATTTTTACTTTTTATATGGTGTTTGCACCTCAGTTTCTACAGAGTTTAACTTAGCGTCCTGAGTCCGCCCCTGATAATGACGTCATGTGCGAATGAAGTGCGGTCTCTAGTCATAACATTTAATTCTCAACAACTTTTCTAAATATTTTTGATATTTTTAAAAATAAAGGTACTTTACTCTTGACAATTTCTGAAAATTCTTCGTAAAAACACCCTGTACATTAATTAATTGGACTAATTTTTTCAACTTCCTAGTTTAAGGCCAAGCAGAGATGATGCCCAGAAGCTCAAATTTCAACTCGAAAAATTTTTGTCATTACGTGCCATCTGCCGCGCGGTTAATGTGGCTAAAGCTATCAAAATATTTTCAGTATGTGTATAATATCTTTTTGTCTCAACTACAGAAATTAATCAAAAGCAAAATAAATTATATCTTGTAATCTATATTTAGCAGTTAAGAGATATTAACATATATCAATTTAACTGTCTTATTAGGATGGATTAAGCATAAATATGTAGGTAAATACACTATTACTTTTGGATACAAATGCCAGTGCTTATCCGTTACCCAAAAAGCAATTAATGTTTCCTTGTTTTTGTGAAATTTGTGTTTCGTATTATTTCTAAGATTCCTTGAACTCAATAGTAAAATAGTATGTAACGTAGTATAATCATTGCATTGTAACATTGATTATTTTATTAGTTATTATTGTCAAGGATCTAAATTTATTTTAAGATGAATAATATATGAATTGATTTGCAGCCTGTTTACCTAAAAATGGATTTGAAAGGAAATGCAGGTACCATTGTGTGTTGTGATCATGCACCTTATGCTTGCTTGCCTGACAAGTGCCAGTGTTGCCAATTATTTGCCTCAATAAAAATAAATATAGTTGACATGAGCGATTATGTGACGAATCCAAGAAGTAGTTATTCAAATATATCAGTAGATTCTAAGTTGTTGCATGAACCTATAACAAAAGATATGCTTTCACATGAACCGTATACACCTGAAAGTGTAGATTCACATATGCACTCTCCTTTATCTGAAAAAGAGGATGCAGAGGGAGATGCTAGGCGAAATTCTGTATCACCAATACAATTAAAGAACAGGCTTGAAAGTATTATTAAACATGACCTAAGAAAGTCACCAAAGATGATGATAAGGTCTGCATCAGAAAATGTACAAGTCAGACATTCGAGAGATAACTTTTTCCGAAATAGGGCCATGTCAGAAATTCCTAAAACAGCCAGGGCCAAACTTATTTCTTCCAATAGTATTCAATCATTGCAAAGGTTGCAAAGTCATCATAGTTCCTCAGACGAGGACTGGTTTGAGTTTGAAAATGAATCTGTCACCAATAGTTTAGACATTTGTCAAGAGAATACTGATTCTCTAGGGAATATTTCTAAAGAAACAAAACAAATCGCTATAATAGAGGACGATAAGATGCCTAGAAAACATTGCCGATTAAAGTTTAAAACTCACCACAAAATTAGTTGTTGTGCTATAGTGTGACTATTTTTTTTTATGTTTTTTAATTTGTGATTGCCGTAGAACTGTAGAATATATTTTTTGCTTGCCTTGCAGATTTACTCGAATAAAACAGTGCTTAATTATAAAGAAGCTTCAGAAATTTAAAAAATAAAATATCAAATGCATATAAAAATTAGATACATACTAGCAAATACCAAATAAATTTCTTTGTAAATAAGTAATTTTAATATTCACTTAGATAAATAGTACTTAAAATGTATATAATATAAAACTGACGGGGTGTAACCCATTTAAGAAAAGTTTATGCTAGTACCTTTTTTTTTCTAAAAGTTGCATTTTAATGTAAACATTATATGTTTAGAAGCAAATAAACTACATAAAATCAACATTGTAGTGATCTGGAGATTAATAAAAAAAAGTTCCATTTGTATTTTGGAAATGAAGGTGTATTGTAAACACCTTTTATAGTAAGTACTTAAAACTTGTTCTCTGTAAATGTAATTTCATTTTAAGGTTTTGGTCAAGGTTATAATTATTTCTGTGTTTAATTTAATATATTCAAGCATAATTTACCTCTACTTTAGTATACAATTTTACGTACATGTTCGAGGTTTGTCAAATAATATTTTGATTCACAGAAAAAATAGTAAAGACCAAAGTTTTATTAAATTTAAAAATTTGATGTTTGTATTTGAAGTTAATTTCTAATCATAAACTGATGATGCAGAAAAAATATTCAAATAGGTACTTACTTGAAAGCAAATATCAAAAATTTTCAAATTTATGAGGAAAATAAATTTATAGTATAAAAAAAATATTATTTATTGTTGGAAAGTACTGACTTTATTATTAAGCACTGTATCATTTAAGTGTAATATTTTTGTGTGTTTTTTAACAGTGTGTTAATGATAAACAACATTTTATCTTGAACAGGCATCGGTGAATGTGAAATGAACAGTTTAAAAATTGCAGAGTCAAAAGTGAAAAAAGTTGAAGATATTATGGATCCCAGTGGAGTAACTAGGTATATTTACATTCAAAATATAGACAACCCGATTAAAATGTTTAGGGAAACCGCAGTGTAATCATATATTTGGTGTTCACCCATACATTTTTTTCATTGTCATGATCCCCCAAATAAAGTGCTCCTTATTTTAATTGATTAAAGTTTGGGTATATGATACAAATTTAAAAAAGTCCTTATATTATAAATTATTGGATTATGTATTATTATAGGAAAACATTCAGTTTTCTATATATTTACTTTTAGAAATATGATTTGTTTTATTTATACAGTAAAAAACCTTGTACTAATTAATTAATAGTTAAAAAAAGGATATTTATATGAATTTTAATATGATACACTGCCAGTAAAGTACACACCATATGAGAACGTTCTTTATTGATTTAAAAAAAAAAGTACTTTCAGTCACATGATAACTGCCAAATTTTACATTAAAAAAACGTAATTTCAAAAATTTCAAAAAAAACGAAAAAAATGTATTTTCAATTTTAGACTCAAATACCAATTTTCTGTAAAATTTGATAGACAATGTTTGACTTTCACTCTTTGACGTTTGAAATTCAGGAAAATAATAATACTTTCTGCATTTGGGAAAAAATGTAAAATTTAACAGATACAAAATATTATTTTAGTGGTTCCATTTTATGGTGATTTACTTTTTGTTTTATTAATTATTTTATGTATAAAATTTGTGTTAAGTGTGCTGATTTATTGTTTTCTGAACAAAATCATTTAACCAACCTTTAATCATTTTTTTCTAGGGATTTTAAAAGACATTGCAGATTCAGGATATTTCAATATTCAGAGGATTTTTGTCGAAATTGCTACATTTTTATTCAGAATTCTCTAATCTCTGATAATGGGACACTAAAGTACTTTTTTTAATAAAGTAAAGCATCTACATTTAAAGTCATGATCATGATTATTACGTATGTCTATAAGTTATTACGTGATAATGTTTTGACGATGTAAGTGATATCTATTTTTGACGTAAGCATTGTATTTCAGATTTATTTAAGTACTTCTTAACGTTAATATTGACCCAAATTGTTATTTAATTTTAAATTACTTTTTAGAATTCATAAAGTGCCCAATAATAAACAAGACTGTACTGTAAGGGATTTAAAATATTCAAGCTTTTTAGTAATAACCTTGTAATATTTGACATTATAATTTTAATCAATTTCTTCCTCTTCACAAATTAATTTGATTCAAATGCACAAAATTCTCATCCATGAATCTGCTCACTCATTGTCATTTTTCATTAAGGTACAAATACTATTGACTGACAAATTAGATTTTTATATTATTTTTATATGTAACATACTATGTTAGTGTTGTGTTGAATTATGTTTAAATGACAACTTCCCAAGGCTGTGGAGTACGAATTTAGTTTACACCTGAACAGAATTAATTGGGGGTCACCTAAATGATGTAATTATAGGGGTTGTTTTTATTATCCATGAAATTGAGAGGTAAAAAGTTTATGTTTTATTGATAACTAACTATAAGTAACTTGACACCTCAGCTTTGTAATGGAGAAACAAAAAACGAAAATAAAAATTTTTACTTATGGTCTGAAATTAGAGTAAAAGGGTCCCATTTATACCAAAAATAAAATTTTCTGATATCTTAATAAAAGCGTCATTGACAATTGTTTTGCCATGAACATACCCAAATGTTTGTAATAACTTTTTTTTGTTGGGCAAGTGTCCCATGAGGGTAAGTTGACAAATCCCAATTATTTTAAGATTTTGTCACTTCAAGTGTCAAGTTAATTGAATTTGGTAGATAATGGGCATCCATAATTTTCATTCTATATTTTGAGAGGTAGGTAAAAGTAGGTAGGCTTCACAATATGAAGGTTCATCTGAATACTACTTTTCAATCGTCTCTCTTAAAATCTATTAGTGGTAAATTTTTACAAGAATATCTTTTTGTGTAAAATAAGTGCTGAATTGGGAAAATGTAAAAAACAGCTTCTTAAAAATATCTGGGATTTTATCTCCACTGATTAGCAATTGGCATGCCCTTGATTAAAATTGAAAATAACTTACTTTATACCATTGGCGGCTCGTCAGGTGACGTGATATTGTAAGTTCAATTAAAAGTATTTTTTCTCGAAAATTGTCCACATTAGGAAGTTCTAACAAGAGTACATTATTTTTAGAAAATAAAATTATACATTAAAAATTGGAGCCCGAATGGTAAAAAACCTAACCTCGAAAAAAATTAGAACTTAAAATGTAATAGGAATGTAGCATAACTAGCGCCCTCTATGAAATATACAAAAAATAATTAGACCAGCGTATTTGGTATTCTTAAAAACCCCGGAATACCAAATTTCATAAAAATATTTCGCACCGTGTGGAAACTTTTGTAAAAATTTGGTTTAAAAAATTTTATTTTGTTGCTCTGTATCTCGAAAACAAGAGGAGATAGACATATAGTTCATAGGACAAAAAATTCTTCTTTTTTGTGGTACTATCACCGCCTGTATTTACGGGAAGTCTTTCTGAAACACCCTGTATATTGTATATGTGTATTATTAAAAATTAAGCAACTATAACTATCTGTAAGTAACAATGTGTAAAAGCTGTTTTACATTGACAATTTATTGATCAATTAATTGATGAAGTTGCTTCATCAAGAAATTGGACAAGTGTAATGCACCAAATCAGCTGTCAAATAACTTCATCAAGTTCTTGACGAATTAGAGCATGTTCTAATTTTTGTCAATTTCTTCGTGAGGTTCGGAAGTACCAACCCAACAGATTTCCAGCCTCAGATTGGTAATGAGGTTATGTTATTGGAATATGTAAATAATTGTGTGGCGTGGTGCTAGTTTTGCATTGTTTTTACCGATTTGTTATTTATAAAATCTAATATTTATATAATATGTGTCAGAAAGGTACCGCTGTTGTATCACTACAATTATAAGTGGAAAGGTGACATTTTTGAAATTTATTTGCTTCTGTGATTCATTGGTAGAACTGATTCATACGTCAAAAAACTTGACAAAGTCTGTAGCAGTGTAACTACACTGTTTACCAATAAATTAGTGAATTAATTGATGAAGAACTTCGTCAATTTATTGATGAATAAATTGTCAATGTAAAACAGCTATAACACATTTATTAACATAAATATTTAATGTACAATTATGACAACTGCCAGTTGTCAAAGGAAGTTTATTTTGGAAAACAGCCATTGAGGACATGCTGTTAGTACCAAACTCATCTTCTTGATTAGGTACATGTAAATGTTGACAGATCTAAAAATCTTTTCTTTGAAAAAACATTCTTTTTGGACGATATCCCATTTTTTTTCTAGAAAATAAAGTAAAAAAACGAGATGCTATAGAGTTGTGAAGAAAAATTGTTTATTTTAATGTCAAGTATTCAGCACTCGTGTTCCCTGGTGCTTGTAATATCTTATTTTTTATCACCCAGCAGACTTTTTAATCAATATTTGTATATTTCTTGCAGCACTACTTTTTTAAATTTTGTAAATTTTTTCGTAGCATTATCTGTGAAGTAACTGTTTGCTGGTTACTATAGAAATGCAATATACAAAAATCAAACACAGTACAATGATGTTGAGGGTGTCCATTTTGAAATATCTACTCTATGATTATATATTAAGTAGGTATTTATTAAAAATGCCTTTTTTATAATAAATTCAGTATCATAATAAAATGTCATAAGCAACGCGCTGGTGTTTTGTTCAAACAAACAATATATATTAGTAGTGACATCTACTCTGAAAATAATTATTAAAATTTGTCAATTTGTTCATGCGACCTTTCAAATTTATTTTTTGAATATTTGTGCATAGCTTCTAAACAAAAAATGTCATAATAAAAGTTATTCAGAAAAATTAAGTATTTTTATATGGTGAAAATATTTGGGTATATTTATGGAAAAGCAATTGTCGATGTCATCACAATCCCGATTTTAGGAATTCTGAAAAATAATACTTTTACATAAAATAGACCTTATTTAGTTCCATTTGACATCATAAGCAAGTTCAGTGACATATGTACACATATGAACACCCTGTACAATTGTAATTACAAAAGTATTGTCAGGAAATATCTGATAATACTGAAGCATAAACCATGAATTTCTAATGCACTGAGTTTTACTTTATTAAACTCAAGTTTACTATATGTGATACATGACCTTTGAAAAAAAAAATATCCAAAGCTTAAATATTAGCAAGGATATTTTTTTTAATTCTGTTCTTGTCTTGTTATTTATCATTTGTGCATAAGTTGATCAAAGCGTAAAAAATCAGGGTTGTACTCTACGTATTACCGAGGTTAATTTAAGGGGTTAATGTACTCTAGAGGTTGGAAAAAAGGTGATTTTCGGGAATTTTCAAGGAAAAATTGATACAAGATATTTGAGAACAAAAGGGCTTTATTATACATGTTTCAGGTAGTATTGTGAATTTTTCAAACGATTTGGACAGGGTTCGTAGCGGCCGGGAAAACCGGGAATACCGGGAAAAGTCAGGGAATTCGTTATTCTTCATAAAAAACAGGGAATAGTCAGGGAATTTTAAAAATATTCATGAAAGTCAGGGAATTTGATGTTTGCAACTGGAAATTTTGTGAAAGCCGGTCCTGGGTTCTTGAAAGAGAAAACTATTTGTGGTTTTGAAACCTAAAGATTATGGGCTCCAGTTGAGAAAAAATTTAATGCATAAAAGTCAGGGAAAACCTGGAAAAGTCAGGGAATTCATTCTTACTTTTGAACTATGAACCCTGTTGGATTCAAAATGGCGGCTGTAGGTGACAGTAAGCAACGACATCTTTTTTTCAGAGAGCTGGATGGCCGAAAATCAAAAATTGTCTGATATACAGTGTCCCGTTCATGTTTCAAAAAAACTTGTGTGCAAGTTTCTCATGGAAAAATAATAGGGGTAGTTCATATAAAGTTTTTTCTTAGACCCTGTGTTCGAGATACAAGTTGTTACTTCATTTTCCTCGAAAATGATACACGCTACCGAATTTCAACAAGTATACCTTTTTTCTGTAGTATCCTTTAGAGTTTACAGAACCGTTTAGAAATGTAATAAATTTTGACTTTTAACATATTTTTTCTTCGGTTGTACCCCTTCAGTTACCTGTATCGGCGACACTGCTTTTCAGAAAGAAACCGTTTGCACATTATTCTTAATGCACAGTTGATGTTTACTCGTGTACAAATTTTGACATTTTTATCTTTAGGCGATTTAAAGATAATTAAGGAAAACCATTTAGAAAGTAACAACTTCAACACACCATGTATCGAAAACGTGGTGTTATATGAACACCCCTATTATTTTTCCATGAGGAACTTGCACACAAAAATATGAACGGGACACCCTGTATACTAAAAGCTAGGGACCATCTTAGGGAAGTTAAAAAATATTAATAATTGTGATTTAGTGAACATTAAAAAAAAAGTACAGTAGGCGCTCATTAATCGGACATGTCTTAGACCGTTAAGTTATCCAAATTATCAGAGTCTGGCATTTAAAAACACACAATTTGATTAGGCTATAGAGTTTAATATAAAGTAGGGTACGTTTATTGAAAAACTATACTTTTAAAATTAAGTAAAATAGTAATATGTATTATTTGTATGTACTGTTCTCACGTTTTAATTTTACTATAAATGAAAAAATTTATCTATTGTGGGGTGGAGTGCAATGAACTTGCTTTTGTCCGATTACCGAGCGATCACCCATCAAAACCGTTAGACTATTGAACAACCGATTAGCGAGTGCTTACTGTTTCATAAAAAGGCGAAAAATTTTGCATTAAATTGTTAACATCAATGAAAATTGTTAATCAATCAACTCCTATGATGTTCCCCGAGTTATGTAATTGTGAAAACTTTTTGAGTTATATTTCTGACCTGTTAAAAAATGCTTTTAAAGTTTTTGTTGCATTCAGCATAAGAAATTCGTTATATGTCCTCCTTCAATCATCAATGCATGCACCATATATATAATTGGCCTCCTATATTCATATTTTCTTCATCCTTTTCTTTTTGGCTTGATCTGAGACTCTATCTCTATTTTCAAAATTCTAGAGTAGCTTTACCCCTATATTAAAAGTACTGTGAAGTAAATTACTTGGCACAAATTTTGTTCTAAATGTGAATGGACATATTCAATTAGTTGCATATTTAAGCGCTAAAAATGTCTCACCATTGAATTAGGCAAAGGACGGATAAAAATGTATCCCGTACTAATATTTATAGGTCGGCCATGTGCAATGCACAATTTGACCATGTACATGTCACGGCTCTGGATACAATACCTTAAAAATTCATGAATTACAAGATCTGCCCTGCATTCCCTTTAAAATTTATAAAACAAAATGGGAGTAAATATTTTTCAAATACAGTGCATTCTTGTAATCCCAATATTTTTATTATAATTGACATTGTATACAATATATATTATAAATACCATATCATATAGTTCCTAAGAATTTGGAGTACATTTATGAACAAATATATTTAAGACTGCAGGAGAAAACTTTAATTATACAAAAAATGATCCCCAATTATTGCTAGTCAGTTCTAGTATGAAGCAAATTGTCAGTTCAATTTTATTCAAGATTAACTGTTTTCCATAAATATTATTTATATCTATATTATTGTGTTATATGTTTGATGTTCTCCTAATTGATATTTAAAATTGTTACTGTTAATTGTTAAATATATGGCATGTATTGTAATATTATACTTTGTTTAGTACTTAGAAAAAAATACTTTAATGGAAAGGAGTCCATAAATAAATGTACTAGTCAAACATATTTAAAAAAGAGTTTATTTTCGATTTACAAATCACATTTTTACAGAATGATTTTAAATACAAATATTTCGGATAACTTCGTGATTTATACAGGGTGTCATAAATTGGCCAAAAAAAATTAGGGACATTCCTTAGGCCAAGGTAAGTTATAAAGTATAACGTATAAGCGCTAAAGCTTTTTCCGATAAACAGGATGCTAAAATTTTTGAAAAATATCACATTTTTTTCCAATCTAAAATAAGCTTATTACACATTTGAATAAATCAAAAATAATTCTAAAGATTTTTTGTTGCAAATTCAATTTTAAATACATGTGAAAGGTAAAAGTCTGCAACATTCAATGGTGTTGAAATTTACTCTTCGCCAATCAGAAAATTAAAAAAACTATGTTTGCAACAATTTTTTTTGTGAAATGAAGTTTTTAATCATTTTTGATTTATTTAATTGTGGAGCGAGCTTATGTGGATTAAAAACAAATAATAACTCTTAAAATAATAGGCTTTTTCCAATAAAATGGAAGATATATTTTCTCTGAAATACAATTAGAAATCAAATGGAAATATCCAATTCCCAAATCTTTCCATTATCTCCGCCACTGGTCAATTGTATACGAATTCATTAAATTTATACCTTACTTAAATCACTAGCCTGAATTTTATTAATGTGCGTTATCCATCTTTTGCCATATTTGCATAGATGAGACATAAAAAAAATAAAAATTAACATTCTGCATCTCAGAAACAGTGTTTACAGACATATGTTCATAGGAACTTTTTTCTTATTTTAGCCTACTGAATGACTATGTTTTTTGGTCTATTTACATTTCACTCTGTTAATGTCACACAAAAAAAACAAACATTGAATCACTATTTAAAAAAAAATCTGCATTATATAAATTGTTAAACATTTGTCGCAACAAAAAAACTACATATTTATTCAATTATAAACGTTTAGTTTTTCTAATTTGAAAATATTACATACTAACCAGTTCGTTTCCATAAGAGACATAATATTTTGTTTAATGGCAGCAATTTTTATATAAATTTCTAAAGATTCGAAGATGGCACCAGTGGGAAATTGTTTGCATGAAATCGCTTTTGAGTTCATTTGGAAACGGGGCAAAAATAACATTTACTTTTTGAAATTTCTTTGTGAATCAATTTTTAACATTTTTAAACAATTTTATATATTGCAATCTTGTAAATATATGTAATTAAAAAATTAATAATGGTTCAAAACAGAATGAAGAAAAAAACTAAAATAAAAAGGGCAGTTAAATAGAGTTTCAAAATATGTTATATGTATTTTCATAAAATAACATTACATTATCTTCCTGATAAATAGTGATGTATATTCTCATGCAATAACATAATCAATAGTAGTTATTACATAATAGTTATTTTTAACAATATCGTAATACAAAAATAGAAAAAATTTAATCTGCACCATTTATAGCAAATAAAAATGTTTTACATTTTGCGAACCATTAAATAGTACCTTATTATGTATGACCAACATCGATAACAAATAACTTTTCACTTATTGAAAATATAAATAAGGTAAAAAAAATAACAAATACTTTTCAGCCTCAAAGAGCTAGTTTACTACTGCAACTGACAAATTTGTTATGAAGAACTTTGCTATTTACAACTGTCCCCATTTATAGGTTTACAGGCCATGAACACAGTAAGTAAAAAATACATTTTTTTTAAATAATGCACATATTTGGAAAATAACTTCCTCAAAATTGTAATTACTAACTAAATCTGCTGTAATCTGAGGTGTCAATTATTTAAAAATTATCGTGTTAGCACTGTTTTTTTAATCAAAATAAATCAGATTCATTGTCGGGTCTGCAAGTATGTGACAATATTTTTAAAAATTAAAAGGTTTTTTCGAGTTTTTTTTTTGAAATAGAAGATAGTTTTAAAAAATTTAAATTTCTCAATTAATGGAAATTTGCAAATCAAGTTGGCATTGTTTTTCTATTACTTATTTATATAATGTTGAAAAAATTAAATCGGTAAAAAAAATTGTGACGTGTTCCACTAAGATTTTTATTTTAATATAAAATAAAAATTATTGAATTTTGCCATGAACCTAACAAAAAAACCATGGACAGACATTTTTCATTTAAAATTGAATGTTTCATGGAAAAACTTCACCCATTTTTACTTGGCACATGGTCATACTAGGTACTTAAAATTAATTGAAGCAATATTGTCGCTGATCTCGTAATTGGATGTAAGAGACTTCTCAAAAATGTAGCATGTCTTGATTCGATTAGTTTATTTTTTATTAATTTTATGTTTGAATTAATGTCGAAGAAAGGTCGATGAACTTTAGCACAAACATTCAAGGTTTTTCCTTGCACAACTAACCTTTAATTCAGTTAAGAAGTCGATTAGGCCAGCCAAGGAGAATAGAATAACATTTTACATAAAAAAATTGCTACAACTTTAAAAAAAATTGAGCAATTTTGAGCATACTTTTCAAATATGTGCATTTTTAGTCTATTTAATAAAAAATATATGAACTTCATTTATTTTTATATTTACTATATTAAATTGCTTGTACATTTGTAAACCTTGACATGATATATACATACATTCCTTTATATTTCAGACAAGATAAAATTTGTATTGTGTCCGATGTCCTGTACTAGAAAGGATTCTTTATTGAGAGTAAATTTTATTAGCTCTTTCAATGCCAAAATATTTTTTCAAGATGCAGATACACGTCTTTTGAGCTTTTATATATTATATGAAATAGAAATAAAATAGATTGTATAGCTCAATCAATTTCATCTGGATGGTTAGATGAAAGAGTGCACACTATATACTTATAAAAAGAGGATCGAGAGAAAGCGAAAATGGGTAAAACCCATATATTACCTGTTCCTTCAAATGCATGCAATGCAAATGCATTAAAACAAGATTTACTTATTTATTATGACATTTTTAATCTGGACTCCTTTACTTTTTCCAAGAAAATACGATTAATCTGAGTTCTGATAACAAAGAAAAAAAAATGAACTTCACAGGTCACTTTTACACTTTGATACTACTCACCCGACTTTCACCAACCAGATGAAATAAATATGACTTATGTTTTTCATTAATAACAGAACTTAAACGTAATACAGTATAATCTCTATAATCCGGCACTTCACTACACCGGCACGACCAGTAATCCGGCGTTATTTTTTCCGCGTTTGTTTACTATTCTTGAAGAATACAGTTTATACAGTTATAGTTTAGTTGAAAGATTATTTTACAGAAACATAAAAACATTACAATATACACATATATGCATACACAACTATAATATGTATGTATCTATGTACCAATCTCTTTGTTAATAAACAATTAAAAGTAACGTTTTTTAATTTAATACTGTTTACATATTATACATTTTCCATTAATCCGAATTTTCCAGTACTCCAGCACTCTTAGGTTTTTAATGGTGCCGGATTAGTGAGATTGTACTGTAATTGTAATCGCAGCTGCCTATTTCTTTTCAATCAGTGGTTAATTTAGGTTTTTGGCCTTTGACACTTGTTTTGAAAATTAACCTCTTAACTGGCATGCATTATATTCATAATGTGGTAATACATGATACCTAAATATCCATCATGCCCACTGTATATTTTCACTTGCAATAGTATGTTTTAACCATACCAGAGGGAAAAAGATGAACAACGCTCTATATACATCACTTTTTAAACGTGTTGCAACCCTCTTAAAGGACAAATATTAACTGCTTTGAACACAGACCATTTTATAAAATATCTGGACTATTTTACATCATTTACGACATATTGTGATTTTAAGAGTGGGTGCAAGTGAATATATTTGTAAAAGATTATAAATTCGTGTTTATATCCATCATAACCAGTTAAGAGGTTAAAAAATAATATTCACTACTGGAAAAAATTAAGGGAAAAAAATCAGAAAATTTTTAGTGATTTTTGACATGCTGTCTCTCAAAAATGGTTGTATCGAGATAAAAATAAGTTTGAAGCTTCATGTCTAGTTTCAAGAAAAAAAAAAAAAAAAAAAATTGAGCTCCGGTTATTGCGCAATCATAGGAAATAGCGTGAGAAACAAATTTCCAATTTTTTTTATTTAATTTGAATGGGATCAGGAAATTTTTTTCATTTAGACTGATGCATAGATCAGTTAGCCTGATTATTCAGCTTTTATTTGATTAAAGTTAAAAGATCAACAGACCTATGCACAGTCTAAGTGAAAAAGATTTCCCTGAGCCCGTGGACTGTTAAAATTAAAAAAAAAATAGAAAATTTTTTTCTCGCACTATTTCCTAAGATTGTGTAATAACAGGAACTCAAAAAATTTTTTTGTCAAAATACCTTCAAACTAGAGACTTGAAGCTTAAAACTGCTTTTTTTTTATCTCGATACGACTATTTTTTACTGAGATAAACTGTCAAAAATCACAAAAAAACCTCAAATTTTCTGTTGCTTCCTTAATTTTTTCCAGTAGGGTACATAAGGTCGATGAATATAAGAATTCAGTAGTAAATTAATTTAATCAACCAAAGTTTAAAAAAAATGCTTGACCAGGAAATTAAATACCTATATAAGTTGTCGCCCTGTTCTAAAATATTATTTTAGTGAGTGGTAACTTCTCTTTTTCATTTTCTGTATGTCATTTGATACAGAAAAAATAAAAATTTCCTTCATGACACATTCACCACTGTTGATAAGTCTATAAACTGATAAAATAAAGGCTATCTTTTAGCTTTATTGACAATTCCATTATGATGTTGAAATAGAGGTTGAAATTAATATGAATTTTTATCAAGTCATTATTAAAGAAAAACAATAATTATACACTAGTGTATATATATTAGAAAAATGTATAAATATTTGTATTATTTGATAATTGTATAACATACCTTTAATCCTACGATTATCAGTCAGAAATGTATATACTAAATGATATATTTAAAATCAATTAAAAAAATAATAAAGACCCGAGAAACTAAAACTATTATCGTCTGTATAATCCCCACAACCAAATTGACTTAGTAGAACCTTTTCCTACTCTTTTCCTGCTGTTTCTGATAAAACATAATACCCAGTACCACACAAGCTACAATTGCAATGCTTCCAAACAGCATAAGGAAAAATATTTTTATACCCGAAAGTGATGAAGGTTTTGGATCTGGAACATGATCTCTTGGAGGCTCAAAAAATGTTGCTGATGGAACAATGTTCGATCTATCTTCCTCTGGTTGTGGCTGAAATATATGAAAAGTTTTTGATGCAAAATTTTTATAGGCAAATAATTTGTTAAATATTTACAACATATATCATCAACTTTTAAAGGACTACTAAAAATTTAAATTGTATCATAAAAAAAAATCATAAAATTACAGCACCTAATGTCTGGATAATCCAGATCAATCAAAACCATGGCAATCCGGATTATCCAAATTTGCAAAATATTGCTTTAATTATCCTATAAATGATGATTGATATATTTTGGGAAATGTTTTTTTAATCAGTTGAAGATAGTTGAGGTTTGAAAATGGTGTTGTATTGTCAGTTCTCAAATGTAAGACAAAAATACTTTAGTTATGTATGGAAACACAATGGTAATTTTTTTTATTCTTATAAACATACTACAGCTCTGACATCGCTAAAAGGAACTTTTAGGTTAGGTTAGGTTAGGTTAGATAGTAATACATATTTGAAAACCTTGATATATGAAAAATGGATAGTTTAGAAGAATGTTTATTGGAACTCTTTTTTCTTCAAAATGAATATATTTAACACCATTTATATTCAATTTATTAGCCACTCTGTAAAAAAGTTTATAAAATGTCACATCAATTTGATTTATTCTGCAACATACTTTGCATACAATCATTTTGAGGAAAGGAGTTCGGATAGAATTTCTGTAACACTATTGGTATCTCGTATATCAAGCTGAAAACTTCAGGAACGTGATTTTCAACTGTTTATATCTCAATACATTTGAAGGTATAAAATATCTAAAATTAAAAGGTCTTACAACTAAATACTCTTTCCAGTAATCTCAAGAAGTTTTTGAAAAAAAAAAAAAAAATTCCAGAACGGCACAAGCATTGTTATTGTGTAACTAAAATGTTTTTAAACTACTTTGAATGACAGCCACTGAAAATATAACACCATTTTCAAAATTGAATAAATTAGGTCATCTTAAAAAAACGCATTTCCCAAAACATATTGATCATCTTGCACATAGCCTTCAAGTTTATAAGCCACATGATCCCCAAGCTTAGACAACCAATATTGCATGGCTGGTACTGTCGACTAAAAATCCTAAAATCTTGGCGTCACCAATATTAATAATTCATTTATAATGAACAATGTCAAACCGATACATTTACGCTCGAAAAAAATTACACCAATCACAGCCAGTGAAACGTAATGTTGTATTTTTAATCATTTTGAATTTTAATGAATTTTATTTGATAACATGAAGGAAATAAAATGTTCCAAACAAAATTACTGTTCACGTGGCTTGAAATCATTTGTGCTCTGTACATACATGTTACATAATTATGTACTCTATAATAAATAAAACAACTGTATCAGTTAACTTCATTAAATCAAAACTAATATGTATGTATATTTTTATTGCCCAAAACAAAAATTTCTTATCAAAACAGCAGTTACCAAGATTACAAAGTACGTTTTGGGAAAACATTTGTCTGGATAATCAAAGAATCCAGATAACCGAAATTCGAGTTATCAAGACAAAGTGAAATATTAAGAATCAGGTAGAGGAAAACAAGTGAACAGGAAGCAGAATATCAAATTCATATACACAGATGTCTATTTATTACTAAAATATATTGATTGATATTATGAACTTACATCATCAGGAAGATCCAATTCAAAAAGTCTTATTGACATAATGTCATGGTTGTCAGATAGATCACCTGTTGTGGCTGATAAACCAATATGATATCCTGTAGGTAAACGAACACCTTTAACTTGGAAACATTCTTTCCAAGCGGCTTTATTTTCCAAATCGGTAGAGACTGAAACAAATATTTTCCAATGCTCTGGCATCACAGATGTCTATTAATGTAGAAATATGGAATGCAAAATGATTTTGCAATGATTTGCAAATGAATGCAATGATTTTGAAAATGATGAGATGTCGTAAGGAGAACTTATTTTTTTAATATACAGGGTGTTCTGAAACTCCGGAGTGTGTGTTCTGAAATTCCAGGAGGTGGTTTTATGGATTAAAATAATAGCAGTATGTAATGAAAATTTTTTTCGAATTGTCAATTGTTTGCAAGTTACAGCTTGTCAAAGTTCAATTTTTTTATTTTTCTATTTAAATAACTTATTTAATTCATGTTCGATTAGTCTTTCATTTGGCACACCCACTAAGTAGATGAAGCTCTATTGGACCAGTCAGAGAAAAGTTTCATTATGCATCGCTAGAGGGCACTTTACCTAGAACTCAAAATTTGTTTTGCTCATAACTTTTTTCTCTTGCTAGACCTCACATAAATTTAAATATTATTGAAAAGAAAAATAATATCAGAAAAAATTATGTACTCTTAATTCAAGTCGATAAATGTAACTGTTTAGCAGCAAATCGCTATTAGTGTTATTAAACATCAAAATTTTTTATAATTTTTTTTGCAATTAATCAAGTTGCTATACTTTAATACCATCTCTTGTAAAACCAGCTTCGGTAGTAAATAGAATATTATTAGTAAATTCATTATCCTCAGCTTATTTTTGCACAACGTTATTACAGAGCCGAAAAAAAATTATTTTGGTGAAAAATCAAACATACCTGCTTTAAATAATTTTTGTTACAATTCATAACACCAAAATTACTAATGATTTTTATTTGAAGCATGGCAACTTGATTAATTACAGAAAGAATTATCAAAAATTTGATGTCTAATAACACATTAATAGCAATTTCCTGGTAAACGGGTATGATTTTTTTCTCTAATAATTGAAATGTATAACACCATACACGGTGATCAGGAAGGGAGAAAAAGTTCGATGAAAATGTCCGCCAAAACGGCTAACGCAGAAAGTTTCTGTATCATCTGGACATTCAAAATTCACAAAGCTCAAAATCCTATCAGATCCTTCTTGCGAATTATGGGCATTTTATATATGTAAAAACGGGCTCTCCAGATCTTGCACTGCCCATCGATTACTCGAAGTTGCCAGCTCACCTATTCCATATTATGGCCCAAACCACTTTCGTTTTATATTAATAGGTTCTCCTAAGTCTTATCTTGAAGATAGTTTGATGCAAACAACATTATTTAATTTGTTAATAACAATTTACAAATGAAAATTTTATGTTCATTTAGAAGTACCTCTAAATCATCTAATGTATCTTTCTTTTATTCTACTAGGTCTAAAAGTCCAATTTTCAATGACCTAATAGTTACAAAAAATATAGAAAAAAAAAACAAAAAATATAAAAAAAACAAAAATATATTTAAATAACAAAAAAATAGAAAAAATTAAAAGATATTTAAAAATGGAGCCAGTGAACCACTACGTCCCCGTCGTTGGCTCTGGGTTAAGCTGAAAGTGGTGTTTTCAAATTCTCAACAACTGATAATAGTCTTTTATCGCAAAAAGTTACTGGATGCATAGAGCGTTGAGACCCTCACAACCGTTTATCTTTGTAGCCTGATTAGAAAATTTTGAAATTAGAATATTTTGTTTAAACAATTTCCAAATTGTTTATTGAACAAGGAAGCGAATTTCTGGTTTAAATATTCATATCTGTCTCTCAATTCTATATATATTCATAAGAAATATTTTTTAAAAATTCTCTAATTTTTGCACCCTGAGTCAAATTTTCATTTGTAAATTGTTATTAACAAATTAAATAATGTTGTTTGCACCAAACTATCTTCAAGATAAGACTTAGGAGAACCTATTAATATAAAACGAACGTGGTTTGGGCCAATAAATGGAATAGGTGAGCTGGGAACTTCGAGCGATCGATGGGCAGTGCAAGATCTGGAGAGTCCGTTTTTACATATATACAAATGCCCATAATTCGCAAGAAGGATCTGATAGGTTTTTGAGCTTTGCGAATTTTGAATGTCCAGATGATACAGAAACTTTCTGCGTTAGCCGTTTTGACAGACATTTTCATCGAACTTTTTCTCCCTTCCTGATCACCATACATAATATACTTGTCCGCCAAAAATATTGGAAAATTTGCCTTAAAAATGGGAAAAATAACTATTTTTGTGGTACCTAATGTTCATTCCGCTATAAAATAATTAATGTTTTAATGAAAAAATAAAGAAGAGTAAATAAGAAAATTATCTTGTTAACAGGAGCAACAGAAATTCATAAATAATTATGTCTATAAAAATTATGTGTCAAATGTCATTTATAAAATCCTTTTGAAAGAAAACAAACGAAGAAAGGGACAAAGTCATATGATATATTTAACTTATTTTAGAAGTACTAAAGTTTGATATCATAAAAGTGTCGCACTTCCGGTACATCCGGAAAATACCGGAAGTCATCTTTAATAGCAAGTAACTGCAATAATTTTAATGAAATACCCTACAACTAATTGAGAATTCGTATTCTACAAACAATTTGGAATCATTTTTATGTACACATCCCTATACCCAATGTTAGGAGTTTTTGAGATATTAAATATTTAATGTAAAAACGATGGATAAATGGAAAATGATATAATCAGTCAATGCATAGATCAGAGGTGCCTAGGAATCTTAATTTTAATATCTTCCCAGATAATTGGATATACCTTTAAGAAAACTTACAGGCACATGGTATCTCAAAAGCTAGGCTGTTTAAGATTTATGTTCATAAAAATATATTTTGTTAAATAATCCATAAACATCACCCCTTATGCAAAGTCAATTAAATCTACAAAATATTATCTCTATTGAAAATTATTCTAATATTATTTTGGTAGCACGATATGTTTCAGTTTAAAAATATCTCATCAGTACTTGTGAAATTCAACTAGGATAATTCAGAGAAAACATTTCATGGCACTTTTCGAATAGATATAATTTACAGGCAGGTAGACATGATACTAAACATCTCTACCTACATACAATGTCCTAAAACCCTATCATTCTATTCACTATACAGTCTAGCAGAATAAAAGCTTATATTCGATTCACCCTTGTAATTTACCTTTATTTTGAACTTTATCAGTTTAATTTATAGAACATAATTGGTTGTGTTTAACCTCATGTTGGACTTTAATTAGACTAATACATAAATACATGAAAACTACTTACCGGTTAGAACATCTTTTTCATATCTTATTGCTATATGAGTGTCATGATCAACATTTCTAAATTTAGCCTCACAACCAGCCAACTGAGTATGGGTTCCATCTCTATCATGATCGTACGTCAAAGAACCATTGTTAACCATTGCAGATATATAAGGATGTTGATGCTACATGGATATTAGATTTATATTTGTAGTTGGCGTAATTAAAAAATTATAGTGTGCGTACGAACATTTTTGAAATAAAACAGTCCATAATATATGAGTGCATCTTTGGAAAGATCACAAAATACTTAATCCAAATAAATCATCCTTTTTTGTGTAAAACACTTTCTTTAGTACATAAAAAATGAGGGTGTTTTTTCTTTTTTTTTTTTAGGGGCTAAATGAGTAATATCGGATTATTATTTTATATATTCATTCAACTCATCACGTACATAAGTAGTTTTTTAATGAAAACCATTAAGTTTCACTTTCACATAATTGGTGGATATAATAATAATAGTTGATAATTATTTTTATAAAAGAAATTGCAGAAACTGGTGCGAGAAGAGGATAAATGTCAATATGCAACGGCATAATTTACTTGTTAGGTATCCCATTCTTGCACTATTTTGTAGCAATAGATGTTATTTTATCCTACAGTTGGGTTTCTGGTATGCCCACAGATTTCATATTTGCAGCAGATGAGTCATTTTTAAACCTATAATTAACCTAATAATCTAACATTTTTTGTACTAATCTTCAAATCTAGAAAACAAAAAAATGTATTTGATATCAGTTATGGAGTTGCTACTTTATGTGTCTCTAACTTATAACAGAACTCTTTCCAAAAATGCAGTCATATACAGGGTGTATAACTTCTGATGTAATTGGAACTTGGAAGACATAAATATTTTTTTCATGATGATACCTATACAGTTCATTAAAAAAGTTCCGGGACTAATTTTGTATAACATCTACAACTAGCACTATCTGTTATCCAACTATGTAGTATTATCTTTCGTTAGTTACCTACAGTTGAGATTTCAGCGCTGTAACTTCATTTAGTCGCCAGCTGTGTTCTGATGTTTTTGTCACTACATCATAATTTTCGTGATGGAGAAGCGTTTCGCAATATAATTTTGTTTCAAATTGTTGAAAACCGTGTATGGCGATGATTGTTTAAGTCCACGCAAGTTTCCAAGTGGTTTGCGCAGTTCAAGAGTTGCTTTGACCTCGACTACCGATGAGAATGCCAAACATGTACGTGCCGCACTGTCTCGTAATCGGCGAGTGGTTAATATGTTATCAAAGAAACCAAACATCAGTGTAGGAAGCGTTCACACATTCTGCATGATATTCTCAGAAAAAAAAAAGTGTGTACGAAGTTCGTTTCACTCATTAAGGGAAGTTTAGGGTACATGCTTGACAATTTTTTAAATGAAATCGTAACCAGCGACGAATCATGGTGTTTTTAATATGATTCATCGACCAAAAGCCAAACCACCGAGCGATGAGGTAAGGGCGAAGGGCAACCCATCAAAGTTCGAGCGACAATATCGAAAATTAAAACGATATTCATGTCTTTTTTCAATTCTCGTGTGATTATCCATAACGAATTTGTGCCCCCGGGCCAAACAGTGAACGCTGCTTTCTACAAAGGTGACCTGGATCGACTTTTGAAGCCAATTCGACGCATGAGACCGGAATTGTACCGCACCAGTGACTGGTTCTTATTGAACAATAATGCGCCAGCCCATTCCACAATACTTGTCACACAATTTTTGGACCAAAAGTTGGTCACCACGATTCAACATCCCGCTATTTACCAGATCTGACTGCAAGTTTTTTTCTTCGTAAATTGAAAATCGCAATGAAGGGAGAACGTTTTAAAGATTTTGAGGCGATTCAAAGGAATGTGAAAATTTTGAAAACAAAATAAAATTTTTTTTCTAATTTTTTTTCCTTTAGCAAAAAAAATTAGTCAAGGAACTTTTTGAATGAACTGTCTGAAAAAATATATTCTTTGAACTTACATTATGGGGGCCATTATGATTACTATAAGTATCTAAAATAATGGCCAATCCTTGGAAGTAATCTTTACTTCCAAATACTGGTCCTTCAATCAATGGTTCTTTAGCGTACCAAATTGCAAATCCATCTCCAAACAAATCTTTACCTTTCCCGTGTACTTTAAAATGTGCTTGCATTTCCCAATTTCGAACGTTTACAGGCTAGGACAATTACAAAATGTTTCAATTGAAGATAACTTTATATAGGTATAAACCAGTTAAAAAAACTTACCACCGTATTCCATATAGCTCCTCTTTTACTTTGAGTATCATCTGTAAGTCGAATATAATTAGGGGTAACTATTGTCGTTCCTGTAAACTGCCAAAACGGTATATCTAATCCAGAGCCTATAAAAATATTTTATATATTTCCAAAATAAAAAATTCCAACCTCAAAAAGGTTACCGTAATATGGTTTTATTAGGGAATGCTCCCGTTTCATGAAATCTTTGGTATTCCATTCTGCTTGTACAATATTAACAAATGTGATTATAAATAGATTACACGATAGATAAACTGCCCTTGCTTTTAAATACATTTTTAGATCAAAACAATTTCACTTTAGTGACGTAAAATTACATGTCACCCCTAACGTTACCGCAATTCGTATAAATGACGATTTTACTTTTTGGGAATTCGAGATTTATTTAATGATAATTATATATAATATAAGAAGCGATCAAACTATTGGTTTGTTTTGTGGATTGACACATGTTTTTTTTTTTTACCATTGCCATTATTCCATGGCTAGAAATTGGCCTCAATGATTTGGGATCAAGGGGGATTATCCCTCTTTATCCTGCCTCATCTCGTGTAGGCCTGGACAGCCTTCGTAGGTGGGCCCCATCCGTGGTCTACCCCGACCGCAAATGCGGCCGGTGTGGGCGCTTTGTGGGACCTCCTTTTGTCCTAGCTGGGCCCCGCCGGCAAGGCGAAGGATTTGGAGATCAATGATTGGGTCGGAAGGCGAACTGTTCGTCTGGAATGACTCGCAGTTCTTGGCAGTGGGTTCTTAGACGGGTTAGGATGATATTTTCTACCACTTTGCTCATAGCCGGGAGCAGGCTGATGGGCCGGTTGTTGGATGGGAACGTGTGATCTTTGTTGGGTTTTGGGATAAGGATTATGTTTGCCGTTTTCCAGCGGGTAGGGAAGTGTCTTAGTCTGAGTGTCGCGTTTGTTATGTTTAGTAGGGCCATGAGGCCCTTGTGTGGTAGTCGTTTAAGTGTCGTGTTATGTATATTGTCGGGTCCGGGGGCTTTTCTGTTTTTAAATCTGCGTAATGTCAGTCTTAGTTCGTGTTGCGGGGGAGATTATGTCATTGTATGGCTCTCTGTCGACGCGTCGGGCCGCGCACACAACCACTGTCTCGAATTCCTCGTCTTCGTCGGGCAGCTGAGACAGTCTATACTGCAGTTTCAGGCCGTCGGCGAAAGCCTCGGCCTTTTCCTGGTTCGTGTAAACCACCCCCACACTACCGTAGGTTGGAGGAATTTTACGGCGAGCGGTCTGTCGCAGGGCCCTCTACGTTTTCCAGAGGCTGTTGTCCAGCGACTCCAGGTGCCTAGCCCAGTTGAAGAAAGGGCCCTTGCCGGCGGGGCCCAGCTAGGACAAAAGGAGGTCCCACAAAGCGCCCACACCGGCCGCATTTGCGGTCGGGGTAGACCACGGATGGGGCCCACCTACGAAGGCTGTCCAGGCCTACACGAGATGAGGCAGGATAAAGAGGGATAATCCCCCTTGATCCCAAATCATTGAGGCCAATTTCTAGCCATGGAATAATGGCGGCGTAGCCCAGTTGTCCTGGGCCAGTTCACCCAGAGCCGCCTTCAAACAACATTTAAGTACGTTTAAGTCATGTCTGTGTCGGGGGAGGCGGGTGCGGGTGGCAAGCCGTTTCGCACGTCGTCTGTCACGTATTAAGTTTTTTATGTCATCGGGGAGGGTGCCCCGGGGGTTTGCCAGTCGGTGGACAATAGTCTCCGTCGTAGTCTGAGTCAGGGCGTTTTTAATGTCAGTTGTCGTATTAGGTTATGCGAGCACGCTCCAGGTTTTTACAACGCTCAGTATATGTCCCGACAGCGTCCTGTCACCGAGGACCTGCCAGGAGCGTCTAGGATGGGAAGGAGGCGAAACAGCCAATTTCACCTCACTTTCCATTCCAAAGCATTAACACACCACGGTAGGAAAATTTGCCGAAACCGGGCAAATGTAAAAAGCCGCCACGGTTACGAATTCAATCACCACGCGGACGTCGCCTGTCGATCTTAGACCGACCCGTTAGGCGATAAATTATCCAGCATCGCGGCCGATCCAGGCCGGGTTCGCCGACAACGCGCTCTGTGCATACAACAGCGACGACCGCGACCCAGAGACGAATCCCGACGCGCCCCAGGACGATATTTGGAAACGACCAACCAGGGAAATCACCTACCTTTCGAATGGTACGGACGCTATCGCCTATAACTCCGAAACCAATGGAGGAATCGCGCTGAAAATAAAATACCGCATAGCAGGCCACGACGACAAGATGTGGTAAAAATCTCGTCCGAATCGTATGGCCATAAGGCCGTTAGGAATGGAAACGTGGATTTGACGATCTTCCCGTTCTCCACCATTCCGCCCATACGATCTCGGTCGGACCCAGAACGATGGTAGAGCATCGCTCTACAATACTCTCCACCGAAGTCGAGCAGAATCGCCCGACGGACAGAGGCCAGCTACGACGATAGAGGATGCCACGCTGCTCCTCGCTGTCGCCGAAGCCGTCCGCGCGATCTGTCTCGAGCAGCACACAATCCATTTACTTTGAACGATTTACCTCACACCAGTTAAGCCGACGTCGCTGCACGCCAAGACGGGAGACCCCGACACAGCCCTACTTGACGGAAATTCGCCTCACTTTCCAATTTTTCCGTCGATGGGCCAGAAAGGCCGCCAAGCGAGGATTCCACCGCTCCGCAACCACGATTCCCGTCTTCGACCACTCCAGCACCGTCCAGTAGCGGGACTCCTGAAATCTCGATGTCGTTTTATCGATATCGAGATAATTACGGAACCAATCTCGATCGATTCGGCTCGAAATGTAAATTGGTACTCTTGAAGCACATCGATATAGTCCTCGGATAAGTTCGGCAAATTTGGGGTAATATTGTATACCACCACGGTTAAGGCAACGGAGTGATATATTTATTTCTGTCTAACATATACGTATTTCAGCAATCTATCTCTTTGTGTCCGGCGGCGGCGTCACGCAGTTTATTTAAATTTTAAAATGAATATCTATCTTCAAATAAATAAACAGTTTATAAAATTATTTATTTAGTCTAAACAGTAAACCATGAAAGTTGATTTAAATGTAGGTACTTTATATTTAAAGGTTTTATGTGTATACATACTCGACAAATTATTGATATTCCACATCCTAATTTTTTATTCGGTTTGAAATAAAAAACATAAAATACTACCTGTGATTACAATTATTGTTGAACAATTAGAGCGACGAGAAGCATTTAGAAATGAAAATATTTGGAGAAGACAGGTAAGAGGTTCAATGGATTCATTATAATCTTTAACGGACAAAAAATTTGTGTAGGTACTTAATTATTTCGCTTACATAAAAATATTATATGTAATTTAATTATGTCTATTGTTTGACATTTAAAAGAAGTAAAAAGAACCTCGGAAACTATTCAATTCAACATTAAATTATTTTGTGCTTTCTGGTTTTATGCACGGTGAACATCACTGGAATTAGTAGACTTCTTGCTTCAAGTCAACAAACTATTAATAGAGGTATAAAGAAAGTCACATATTAGTTATTTATTAAAACCTCTCCAACAATTGGATAAAATTTTCACCAACATTAGAGAAAAATATTCCGGTAAATACACACTCATGACAAGAACAAGATTTGTAATATTATGCAGTATTTATATTTATTTAATTCATAGGTACCATTATGTTTATTAATATCAATGATTGCTCCTAAAGAAGAACATAGGTAATTATGTTAACAGAAAAAACTGTTCAAATACCTAGTTGTAGATATATAGAAACCAAGGATTTTATACAAGTCCTTATATATAAACAAGTATTTGACACTTTACATTGGGTTAGGTTAAATAAGTAAAAATAAACAAAACACAAACGCAAACACATATTTGTAATGTTCAAAAGAAACAGCAATAGTCAATACATGTGATAGAAGAAGAGAGCAAATCATTTCGGCTAGCTCGTTATTATATCGATTCGAATGGGCGGGGTTTCGATATTATTTCGATGGCAAAATTTTCAAGAGTACCGATATATCGATATTATTTCGATCTCGATTCGGAATCATCGAATCGACATTTCGGGAGTCCCTGCACAGGAGCCGAATTTTCGACAAATCGGAAAATCTATAGACTTTCCGATCCTAAGGACCTTCCGGCTCCCAGTTAAGATTACGACGCCGATTCTAAAAATCGATTTTTGAAGATTCTAGAAAAATCCAAAAGGGCCAAAATCAAACAGCGCCCTCAAAAAAGGGTCACTTTTTTCTAGAATTTAGGCGAAGGAGAATGGAAGTCGTCCGGCGATTATGGGGAGATCGTTGGAAATCCAGGATTTGGGGTTGAACGTCTACCGGCGGCGTTCGCAGTATATTAATTGGAACCAGTGTCCAGCCAGTGTGAGTACACGATGTGTCTTGTTTAATCCAGTGCAAAGACTATAGAGCCAAGCGCAAAACATTTCCAAGGGTAAGATGAGACCCACCAGTGCATCGACAAGTGCTACGATGAGCGATTTCGACCCCCAAACTTATAAATTAGATCGTAACTTCCTTCCAAATCCTGAGCTAGACGAGTCCTCGTCGAGAAGGAACGGAGATCCCAGCTTACCACCCCTGCCTGCGACGATCGCTACGAGCAGCGGGGTAGTGAAGGTGGAAGCTAAAAGCGGTGACCTCGCCCTCACGCCTGTCTGCCGGTGGTTCATTCCCTGGTCTTCTGGGTGAAAGAGGAACAGGACTCCGTATCCAGCCCAAATCGTATCTGTATGCTCCGTGGAGAGTCCGAGGGACCGACGTCGGTAACCGACCGAGGGACGCGGCGCGGCGTAGCTAACGTGCCTTACACACTTAGATCCGCTACCTCGGGGGGTCCTAATACCGGCTCGACCATCCCTTCGGGCGCCCCCACAGTTCAGGGAGTGGCGAACTCCACCGCGACATCCGCAGCAGGGGACGAACCGCGCGGGCGGCATCACCAGCCGTCCACCCTCTGCAGACCGATGTTGCGGGACGGGTAGCTATTCCTACTATTGATTCCGATGTCGGTTTACGACATGGTACTGGGAGTGGAGGTCGAACTCCACGGGGAGCATCTATGTCTTCCCGAACTTCACGACCTGGTGCCATGGAAGAAATCGACGGGGCGGAGTTGAGAACCGGTGGCGAATCGCTGCGTGGCGTCCAAGGCGGAAGTCGGATAACCAGTTCGACGTTTCCTCCGAGGGCCCACGAAACGGGTGTCGTCACCGATGGGGGCAAGGTACGACACACTCTCAAGGGAGAGGATTGCCGCCTCCAGATCATGGGTGGTTTC